CCCTATCTCGAAACCCCACATTTCCAGATTGTCTGGGATTAGGAAATGCTTCATGAGTTAGTGCCAGAGAAGGTAAAGAGGAACTTTCTTCCAGGGAATTTGAAGCATCCTGCACTGCTGTGGATGTTTTGCTTTCAGGTTGGAGGTGATTCCCCTGAAACACCAGGTCTGCGTCAGCAGCCTGACAACTTCTTTGCAGTCAAACACACACCAGGAGCTAATTAAAAGAGAAGCTCTTTAATTTCCACTGCAAAGCTTTCAGTGTTTATCTCAGGGCTGGTTTTGCCAGCTCAAATTGGTCCTGCTTCTCCCAGGAATGTGCACCCAAAATTTGTCCACCTGAATTCCTCAACTGACTGTAGACACCTGGCCGGGTTGGTGAAAGTGGAAGTGACACCAAAGCCACCAGCAGAACCCTGATCCAAGACTCTGCTGGTTCTCTTTGTGCAGCTTGGTGTCCTTTTGGGTCTGTCCCTGTGAGGGCCATCAGCAGCTGGGATTCCTGGAGGAAGAAACAGGAATGTTGCGTAAATCAATAAGTGGAGGCAAAGCAGAGATCGCCACTCATCCCCTCAGTGAAAGCACCTTTCAAGCAAATTCATATTTACAGTCATAGCACTGTTAAAACTATTTTTAATTACAGAAAATAAAATACTAATAAAGCTTTATTAGTGTTTCATCTCTCCCTCTCTTTCTTCACGCCCTCGTGTGAATTTTAATTGTGGTTTCTTTCCCACACCCCTCCAAATCTGAGGAGGTTCCAGCAAAGCCAGGAGGAGCAGTTGGGAGCAGTCTGATCCCGGCCCAGATAGGCTGGGTTTGCCTCGTTAAGCCTGCCTGCAAGCCTAGCAAGCTGATTAAAGCTGAGCCCATTCTCAATTTACAGGCTCTTGGTGTCTGTGGGATATGAGACACCAAAAAAAGCCTCCTGTGTCCCTGATCCTTTAACTGCATGTCAGAGCAGTCGAGGAGTGAGGTTTCATCTTTCTCGAGGTGTTGCCAGGTGCTAATTAGCCTCGGGACCTTGTACAAAGGGACAAAGTGCAGGAAAAGATTTCAGTGGGGATTGGTTTCTTGCCCACTGTGTAGAACTCAGCCCTGCAGGAGTCTGTGGGATTTATTCCCATTTTGTGCTTCCTCCAGGCATGGACTCTGCACTTACTAACAGAAGTACCTGATTGAGCAACTTTCAGTTGCTGATTGAGTGGATATTTTGTAGTTTGAATTTCCACATTCCCTATTCAGAGTTGTCTATTACATCCCCAAAGCAGAGGGAAGACAGAGCAATATTTAAATCCCCCAGTTTTTTGTTAATTTGGCTCAGCTAAGGAAAACTTCCATCCTGGACCTGATAACTGGTTTATTAGAGCACTTTAAAACAATAAGAGAGCACAGCAAGTTCCCCAGTCCCAGGGGAAGGTGAGCAGGGCTGGAGCAAGCCACAGCTCCTGTTGTCCCAGCCTCCATTCAATCCCAGTGGCGTAATGGAAAGCAGTGGGAATGTCCTTGATTCCCCGATAGCCTCAGCCCTGCGTGCTCCAGCCTTTCTAACACAGGCCTTTGGGAAACTGCATGTGGCTTTGGCCTAGCCAGACACCCCCTTTGGATTTGTTTTTTTCTGTTTTGCTGTTCCATTGGCGGCGAGGGAAGGAAGTGGTGGGAGAGCGGAGTCGGTGCCCGGCCACTCACAACATTCCCAGACTGCCCAGGATGGTCATACCCTTGGCAGGCTGCTGCTTGCTGTGGGCTCACCTAAAAAGTGCTTCTGGCTGCTGTCAAAGCCTTCCCAACAAGCAGAGAGCTTTGTTTGTGGATACCCAACCCTTCTTTTATCCCATTTCCGACTGCTCCGTTCCCCCGGGCGCTCTTGGAGCTGCGTAATCACCGCCAATTCCTTCTTGGGGGGATTGCATCCAAAGCTTTTGGGCTTTTTCAGGTCATGTGTGCCAGACCTCAAAGTGACCTGAGCTAACAATCCCTTGTTTCTCTTCCTCTTTCATGTACTTGCTTTCCAGGATCAATCTCTTTCCAACAATAATATTAATGTTGGCAGCCTGTCCCGCTCTGGTGTGTGTCTGGAGCAGAGAGGAGAAGGACAAAGCTCCCTGTCTTTAAAACTTTAAAGCACTCCTCTTCCAGCCACACTTGGGGCCTTTTCTTTACATTTGTTTTATTTCTGAGCTGAAGATATTGAGGGTTTTGTTTAAGAGAGTCCCATGCCCGGCACCAGTGACTGGTGCAGAATCCATCAGGGCTTTGCTGGGTTTGTTCCCATCACTTTTGATATTCCTCAGACATGAAGGGCATGTATAGAGCTTGTTCTCATCACCCTCTGAGATTCCTGACACAAAGGGAAATTCCAGCATTAATACACAATCACTTTGTTTCAACTTTTATTTATCCAGCGCATTCTGTGTTATAATAATGTGTTATAAATAAATCACAAAATAAGTGCAGGATAATGCACAGACACGGAGAAGAGTGGGACAGAAATGGGAGGAGAGGCTGGTCCTGGAATGCTGTGCTCTGTCCTGATGGCTGCAGCCAGAACCACCAGCTAGAAGTGACTGATTATAAAATCATAGCAAGAAATTAGATGGACCCATTTAATAGCAGAGAGAAATTCCTGCAGGAGTGAGGGGACTTTTATCACCTCACAGCAAGGCTGGATGCATTTCCAGAGGATATTTCAGGCTCAAATCCTGGACTCCATGAGCTGTGAATGGAGCAAAGGGACCAAGCTAAGTGACACTTCACCTCACCTTCAACTTTCCTGAATCAGGAATAGGGAATTATTCCTTGGAAGGAACAAGCTCGATGATAGTTTTACAGACCTGCCTGGAGTCAGGATGGGTGTGGCATTACCCCAATCTTTATTTCCAGTGAAAAGGAGCAGCCAAGCTCTGTTTGCACCCAGGGCTTCTGTCAATACCCTGCAGGGCAGGAGGTGCTGCTTTGTACCTGGAATTCATCCTGCAGTGAAAAGGGAAAGGATGTGGGCTCTAAACCCCACTGGGGGAGAAGATTCCCTGTTAGTAACAGGACCTTGTGTATTCACCGTACACAATAAAGCATGAACAAAACCATCAAAGAATTGTTTTCCGTTCAAGAGAGAGGGGGAAATGTGGGAAATGGATTTGTAGAGAATTCTCAAAGCCTGACAGAAGACTCACATAGTGTGCATGTATATGCAAACCTTGAGATAAGAAATACTCATTTAGAAATACCATAGAATAAGACAAACATTGGTGAGAGAGAAATGAAACTAGAAACAAGTTTCAAAGGATGGCCTTACAAAACAGGCTGGATACTTTAGAGAGATAGAACTGTGAAATGTGCATTGTAGTGGGACCCACGAAGGGTAATTTTAGATTATTGGCTTTAAACATTTACAACATGGTGTAACAAAAACTAATAAGCCAAGAAATGCTTACAGTGTATTGTAATTAGGAAATAGTAACTTCTGATTGTACTGGTGTGAATTATACCACCTGTATCATCTCACCTTTCACATGAGGCTGAAAGTAGAATAAAAGTTTTTCAAACACTTCTCAGTTTGAGAGCTTTAAGTCAAAAAAACCCATAATCCAACACCCTGGCCCATTTTCCCCATCACCAAACCTCCCTGGACACGATCCCCACTCCCCAGGAAGGACGGGTCCCATCGTGCCCAGGACGGAGAGCGCTGCTATCGCCTGTCACCATCCCCGTCTGGGTGATTTAACAACAGGAACTGCTCCGTGCTGGGCTCTGATGGCAGAGATACCAGCAGGGCAGGGCAGGAAGGGTGAGACAGAAGCGTTAACGCTCCGTTTGCTTATCTGACAGCTGGAATTGGACTTTTCTTTTCATTTTTCCCATTGACAAACGCTGCTTTTCTTGCTCTTCCCCTCCCGCGAGGAGCTGGTTGCCATCCTCCCTCTCCACCCAACCACCACACGGTGCAGATGTTCCAGCTGCCACCAGCCCCAGCGCTGCCCAGGCTTCTCCAACATCATCCAGGCTCTGCATCTCGAGTTTTGGGGGGAAATCACCCTGTTTGCCCATTTACAGATGTTTATCCCCATCACCTCAGCGAGCCTGAGCTTTTTTCCCTGCCTGTGGTGCTCTGCTTTCTGATGCCGCTGTACAGTAAAGGGCCTTATCCAAGCCATGTTTATTTATGAGAAACTTTTATTTAAGAAGAAAAAAAAAAAAGATACTTTTAAGACAAAACAGATTTTAAGGGCAGTAAATCACTCTGTGACTTTCTATCTAGAGGTTGGTTATCCTCTGGTGGTAAATAAATGAGGTTTTTTAGCCTTTTCTAGTGACTGCCTTGTTCTGGGCTGCTGCTGCCCTCCCAATCCAAGGGATGCCTCACACCCAGCTGGGGCTCGGCAGCAATTTCAGTTTGGCTGGACCTTGAAATTAGTCCCTAGCCTCGTGATTGAGTTGTCAGCATCTGCTGAGGGATCATTTATTGTGCTGTCCCTTCCCATTCAGACAGGAAAGCCTCACACAATAACTTCACCTCGTGGAAAAGGTCATGCCCAGAGTTCACAAAACACTGTCTGTGTTCCTTTATTTATTGCTTATGCCCACCCCATAAGCCACAAAACAGGGGAAGACAGTTAAAAATACTCTGCTTTGGCACATTCCCCTGATTTGGCAGAATTTGGGCTGAGGCTTTTGTATTTATGTGAAAAAGCAGGACAAAGCTCAGCTGGATTTCCCTGAGAGCCCCGAAGCAGAATCAGGGCAGGATTTATAGCTCTGCATCCAGCCCATAAATCACTTGAGGGAAACTTTAAACCCAGCCCGGGTTTGCCAGGACGGCCTGGCAGCCCCAGACTGATTCACAGAGTGTTGTGCCCTGTTCCTGCCCTGCCACCGATTTTCCACATCCCATCCTTTTGCCTCCATGGCCACCCCACCTCCTGTTTCCCTGTGTGCTGTCCCCAGCGTCCCCACGTCAGCGATGTCCTGGTGTAAGCACAGGCAGAGCCCTTATCACTCACAGCAAATGGTTCTTTCCCCTCCATGTATTTTTATTTTTGAGTGTCAGATGTGGAAAACCCAACAGGATGATCACTCAGCATGTACCTTGTGTCTGCTGCCTGCTGGGAAGTCACAGCAGAAATGACAAATGAGAGAGGGAGGAATTCAGAAAACACCAAATGGCTCAAAAGGCAGCGGGGCAAAGCAAGTCCAACCCTTGCTGTGGTTTTGCTGGTCTTGATAGAGCTGCAAAACCAAGAGACAAATACTCAGATGTTCCACTGGTTTGTCAGCAGGCAATTGGTAAAAATCTTTTAGCACTTTTCCTTGAAGAATGATGATTTTTCTTTTTCTTGCCACAGAACTCCTGTGGGCACGACGAGGCGTTCCCAAAGAGCCCTGATGATCTCATCCTGGGAAACCTTCATCCCAGCAGTGCTCCCTGGATGATTCTCCAGTTTTGGACTGCTGGATGATTCTCCCTTTGCTCTGGCATCCACCAGGATGCCTTGGTTTGCAAAGACAGGTGTCTGCTAAAGAGGGGAGATGGGGCAGTCGGAATTCCAGGTGCTCCAGGTAGGTATTTGCTCATTTCCCCTGTATTCTGCTTGAAACAGCTTTTGAATCCGATATCAAAATTGGATTCAAAATTGGTGGTGCAGCAATATCTGACAGCCACAAAGGGGATTCACCTCCTGGAGTGATATCAGATCTCAGAATTATAGGAATTCTTCTTAGCAAAGCTGTGAGACAACAGGGATAATTTTCCTTGCTGCAAATTCAGCCCTAGTCGCAATTTTACAAATTTGGAGTGGCCACAAAAGGCAAAAAGAGAAAGATACAAACTTTAAAATGACCTGGAGAAAAGAGATCAGAGAAGGATACAGAAGCATGAGAGGAAAAAAAATGTTAAAAGGAAAAGTAATGTTTGAAGGAAAATTGTTAAAAGAGTGGCTCACTGGTGGTCCAACAGCAGGATAAAGGGATGTAACCACATTGTCACACTCAGTGTAATACTTTAATTTTCACCTCTTCTTAAAACTGCCTCTGGTTTCAGTCAGCATCCACCAGAAATACCCTGGAATTAACTCTGTTGTGGTATTTTCAGTAGCAGAAACACTTTCCTCTGAAATGAAGTCCTCCAAGAGCTGCTCTGCTGATCCCATTCAGAGGAAGACAGAAGATTTATTCCAGTGTTCACTGCTGTCAGTGGGACCTGCAGCCCCTGTCTTTATCCCAATTAATTTTGTCTCCCAGTGTTTACCCAGGTTTGTGCTGCAGGCACTGGAAGGTTCCACAATCCCTGCTTGGGGCAGATAATTTCATGTCCTCCTGAATCCTCAGAAGGCAGAGCAGGGTCCCTGGAGCCCAGAGCACTCCATGAAGCACTTGTGAGAGTAATGATCCCTCCTTTGCCCTGCCTGGCAATTTTAGTTTGCATTCCAAACATGATTTTATGCAGGACTCTGGAATTTCTCATTAACTGGGGTACAACCATTTCTAGGAGTTTCTGAGGCGTTTTGCAAATATTTGCAGCTGGGGCATGTGGCAAAAAGGGGTTGAAGGGAGACATAATTTATGTCAGCTCAGTAATACTCATTCATCAAAGGATAATTGTGCTAATTAAAACTTTAGCCACAAGTCTTGTCCAGCCCACAGATGGAGGCCCCATCCCAAGTGTCCAAGGCCATTCTGGACAGGGCTTGGAGCCACCTGGGATGGTAGAAGGTGTCCCTGTGCAACTGGATAATCTTTAAAGTCCCTTCCCACCTAAACAATTCCTCAATTCTCTCTCTATACCCCCACAAATACTCATATTTGAACCAACTACTCCTCACCTTCAGCTCAAGTGGTGAAACACAACAAGAAAACCCATTCCCATATTTTCATTTTGAAGCAGAGCAGCTTCCAGGGGGACTCAAAGTTGTTTTCTCCTTGAGGAGTGAGGAGGTGAAACTTATCCCGTGCAGCTGCCTCCATCATTCCCTTGCAGGCACGTTCACCTGGCTCCTGCAGCAGCCCAGAGCTGGCACTGCCCCCCTGGCACTGCCTGGGCTGAATTTGAGCTCAGCTCAGGGGGCACCAGCCCATCCCAGGCTTCTCTTGGAAAAGGGATCGATGCCTCAGCTGTAAAGAAAAGAATCTGCATCACAATAGAGGTTGCTGGAGGGAGGGCTTTTACAAAGCATTTGCTGTTTCTAATTTTGGTAAGGAAATAGGCAATTACTGCCTTAAAAAATTAAATGTCATGTCATTTCAAACTGTCTTTGTTTCTCATAAACATCTTGCAACTTGTGGCAGAGGCTGCTGGAAATCTCCCCTGATAGCAGTGCCACGTTGGCCAAGAGATGTTTGATTGGTGCTCCAGCCTTCTGTTCATGTGGGTTGGACTGGTCTGTAGTCAGATAATAAAATCATCTGCTCAATTTAGCTTCAAAACATAAATTTGAGTGGATCAGTATTCGTTTTATAGCAGCTCTACCTCATCCATCCAGAGAGGCAGCTAAAACCAGGTTTGGCCAGCACTAAGCCACCATTTGCTAGCTGATTTCAGCAGAGGCAGCCTGGAATTTTGACGTGTGTGTCCCCAGGCTTTGGCTGAGGTCCAGCTCTACCTGCTCCTCAGAAGGGCTGGGTGGGTCAGGGTGTGCTCAGGTTTGCAACCCCTGGGTCTGAGTCACCTCCACGCTTCTCCAGGTTGGAATTTCTGAGGTAAAACACAATCTGTAAATTGGGTTTAAATGGCTGCACAGATATTTAGGCATCAGCCTGTCTAGATTTTGTCCCAGAAGGGTGAATTCATGCCTCACCCAGTTTCATATGGACTTTCTGCCACTTCATGTGCTCTGCAGTTACAGCACCCTGGTGAGTCGGGGTTGACACCCACTGGACACTGAGCACCAAACCTCATAGTCAGATTTTCCTTAAAGGATGTCCCAGAGCTGCTGCTCCTTTCCAAAGGGAATTCTCGGCTTAAATCCCAATTATCTGAATGGACTTGCTGGTCTCAAAGCCAAGCAGAAGCTCCACCACTTTCACCTGTGAGATTGGCCCAAACTCATAAAAAAACCACTTCCTTGGAAGTTGATGTCTGATCAAAGGAATCCTTCAGTGACTGTCATCCTTCAGTGTCTTTCACCCTGCAGAGTTCCAGTCTGGAGAGTGACAGGGAATGCTTCTGATGTCTCATCAAAGGAATCCTTCAGTGACTGTCGTGTCTTTCACCCTGCAGAGTTCCAGTCTGGAGAGTGACAGGGAATGCTTTATTCCTAGATTAGATCCTTTATTCCTAAAAATATGTGAGGTTTGAAGACAGGGAATTGAAAGGCAAATGGGTGTCTCCCACTGTGCCCACTGTGGGCTGGAGCTTCCTTAATTTTTAATGTTCATTGGAAAACATCACCATGTGTCACTTTGACGTTTCCATGGTTTTATCAGACCCTGGGAGAGTCCCCAGTGGTGGCACAGGGACACCCAGATGGACACAGGCATTTGTGTCACAGCCCAGCTCGGCTGTCCCTGCTAATCCAGCCCGCCTGGGGCAGAGGGAATTAATTACAAAGCTTGGGAAGAAAAGTCAATAACAGGATTGAAACATTCCCACAGGTTTCTCTTGAACGAGATCTCCAGGATAACTTGTGCCGATGGTGAAATGTGGTGCCAGGTGAGATTTTATCACCAATTAGAGGTGCCCAGGCTTCAGCCAACTCTTGGGAAGCTCCATGAAGTCATGGATGAACGGGCTCCAAGGGAAAAAAGGCAATACAGATGATTTTCTCCAACAGATTCACTGTGATAAGCACATTCCAGTGACTCAGTGCAGAGCGAGGAGGTGCTGGATTTTTCACATGAAAAAATCTCGTAGCATAGAAAAATCTAATCAGGGGGTTTTTGGTGTTTTTTTTGTCCACTGCTTGTATTTAAAACTAAATATAATTAATAGGAAATCTGTGGACACGGACTGTACATTACCCAAGAGTGCTCTGCCCATGAGGTCACAGTTCGTAGTGTGACGGGAAATTTAAAAAAAATGAATAAAATTGCTTCCAGTCGCTTCTGAGGCAGGTCCTGAGTGACCAAATTCCCTGTCCTTTGAAACCAATCCAGGTCACGTTGGCTGGGCCCCGATGCAGCGTGGAATTTGTTTTTCCCATCATGTGAGAGGGAGGAAACGTCCCGTCCAAGGAGGGCGATGTCAGCTCGGACGCAAACGCGCTCGGCACGGAGGCACGAGGAGAGGGCTCGGCAACTTGAGAGCTTTCTGCACTGCCTCGTGCACAAAACCCTCTTGGAAGGACTCACAACAAACTGAGAGCTCACTGGAAACATCTCCCTTGTTTGTTTTGGCTGCCAGAGCTTTTCTAAGTGCAATTACCAGCAGTTGAGAAATGGAGAGGGTGAAAGAATCCTTGTGGTTCGTGCTCAGGAGACCTGGGTTGATTTCTAACCTCTGTCACGGTGTCACAGCAGGAAAAAGAGATTTAATTCATCTGCAGGTCGATTTGTACAAACAGGGATGGGGCTGCCCTGCAGCAGCAGCTCCTGGTACTGAGGTGAACCCTCATGTCCTGCTGATTTCATGGAATTCAGGCAGATATATATATAATTATATACCCATTTTTAAAAGTTTCTGGGGCTCATATATCAATATATAACCCTCTCTTAACAGCACCACACTGCCTCAGAGGGGGAAAATCCCCCATTCCTGCACACAGCTGCACATCCCTTTAAGCCAGAGGACAGGAATGGATTTGTGCCCTGCAAGGACCAACATCTTCATTAAGATCCCTGTTTGCTGGGCAGTGACAAATCTTTCCCTCAGAACACGATGATTAAGGTTTAATTTTATTCCGGATTATGGGCAGCTCCACTTGCAAAGCAGCGCTGGGCCAAGGTTGGGCACATATTGCCTGGAAATGAACGTTCCTCCCCAAAGTGCTTAAGCAGCTTTGGATAAGAAAAGATGGTTTGGGGAAGATTAGGAGCCTAAGAAAGATCTCCAGGCTAAGAGGAAAGTGCCGTTGTGGGTTCAGGAAGAAATGCTGAGGGTCTGAGGCTTCCAAATTGCTTGGGAGAGTTGGAGGAAGATGGTGGGAAAAGGATAGATTAGTGAAGGTGTTGGATTTACAGATGGGTGAAGACAGCCATAAATTATATGGGGATGAGGTGGGGGTGTGTGTTTGTAAATCATCAGCAGGGAAATTTCCAGGCTTCAGTTTGCTTAGAGAACCAAATCTGCATTTCTGGAGGTTTTATGATGTGGAACATCACTTGAGATGAAGTTTAGATGTCAGCTTAAACACAGTGGGGAATAAAATCTGTCCTGCCCAGCACAAGAACTGAGTTTGGAATATGGACAGAGGGCTGCAGGAGAAGCAGAGGGAAAGGAGGAGAAGTCTCCTGGGGCTGGGATACAAATGTTTGTCCTGATATGCAGTTCCCTGCTCCTGCAGATCCTCTCCCCTCTGCTTTTCCTCACAGGTACAGGTTTATTCTGCCAGAGAATGGTATTTAAATCCAAGCAGTGATGATTATTTGTTCTCAAACACATATGTTCTTCCCTCCCCTGAGAGCAGGGGGAGGAGGACAGCGATGAGAGCCGGCGAATGTTTCACCCTCGCTGCAGTGACAGCTTTGATTTGTGAAACAGCTTGGAATAAAATGCTGGTAATTTTTCATGGAAAAACCAAAGGACATAATTTGTGTGTGTCTCAAAGAGAGCAGCAGAGATCTGAAATGCCTGGACACACCATTGTGTGAGTGCCAAAATCCTGGATGGATATAAAACTCAGTGTTTTCAACCCAGAGAAATAACATTACAATCATCCCTGGTTAAGCAGATTCTGCTTGTTTATTGTTTTCCAGTATCTGCAGCTCTGCTCATCAATTTTTCACATTATTCCTTGGCTGTTCCCTCATGTTCTGTCTCTTTGCTGGTTTGATGTTTTGCTCTCTGGAGATTTCTTCCATAAATTTTTATTATTTCCTCTGAGAAATCTTTTTTTATGATTCCCAGTAAGAGCTGGGACTGTGATATGGTGGAGGGAGAGAAGAAAGCTGGGCAGTGGAAACTCCTTTAACTTAATGCCATGGAAAAACCCCTCTGGCTCCCTGTCAGCCAAAGAAGGTCAAAGGCAGTCCGAGCTGCAGCCATGCCAATGGATCCTAAATCCAGTATTTAATATCGATCTCCAGCTTCATAAACACCACCCTGACAGTGCTGACAGCAGCCCTGACATCAGCATGATGACACAGGGCACAAAAATGACTTCACACTGCCAGCTCTGCTCCCAGCCAGCATGGGAACAACGCTGGGAAAGAGCTTTTGTTTAATTAGTTATTGGTAATGAGGTCTGGTTAAAGGGTGAGGTGGGACTGAGGGAGCAAAGCTGGGCTGGCTCAGTGCTTGGGCCAGGGGATGTTTGACAGTGCTGGTGCAGGGGGTCAAAGCAGGGGTTTAAAGAAGATTTTGGGCTCACCTTGGCTGTGGGAAGAGGTTTTCCAGGCACTTCCGACGCCAGCCCATCACTCAGGTGGTTGGAGATGGAGCTGGAGCTGATCTTCAGCTTTGGAAGAGGATTTTGGAGATTCATCTTCAGTTTTCAAAGAGATTTCTTGAGATTTATTTTCAGCTTTGAGGGAGAATTTTGGAAGTCTCTGTGATTTTGGAAATCTCTGTGATCTGGATGAGCCCTACCCTACCCAGGGGAACAGGAAGGTTCCCAAGGAGCAGAGTCAGAACCTTGGTGCTGCAATCACATGGAAATCATATGGAAATCACAGACTTAGACATTCCCAAAATTGCTGGACACATCACCACCAGCCCATCACTCCAGTGATAAACCAAAATCTCCAGCTCTGGAGCTGATCTTCAGCTTTTGGGGAGGTTTTCGGAGATTCTTTTTCAGTTTTAGAGAACATTTACAGAGATTTAGCTTCAGCTTTGCAGAACATTTTGGAAATCCACCTGTGATCTGGCTGAACCCAACCCTACACTGGGGAACAGGAGGGTTCCCAAGGAGCAGAGCTGGGGCTGAAATCACATGGAAAGCCAGACTTAGACATTCCCAAAATTGCTGGGCACATCCCTCTGAAGAATGATGGACGTGGGGTGTGCTGCCATCACTGCCCTGCCAGTGCCAAGCCCGTGGATGTCCTTTCTGAATTTGATTAAAATCTAGAACCACCACCATCATTAAATCATCCAAAGCTCAACAGAAATATTTAGGGAAAGGGAATGTTCCAAGAGACCTCAATGGGATTCAGGGAAATGGTTCTGAGCTGACAAGAATTCACAGGGTAACTCCTTTTTTCATAAAATGAAGAGAGCAGGGAGAGAACCATTCAAACTTGACCAAATTAATTTTTACCTACCCCAGTGATCCCCACCTTCACTCCATCCATGAAAATCTGTGCCCACAGAATGAAAATAAAGCCAATCCAATGGGAGCAGCATGAGCCAGCATTTGGGATTGTGTAAATAGAGCACTGAGGTGGCATCACTGGGGCAGCAGGGATTTATACCAGCTGAGGATCTGGCCCATGAAGTGGGAATAACTCTTTCTGCCCTGTGATTTATGCTCTCCAGTTATTGACTGCTCCAAAATAAGCCTCTGTTATAAACAATCCGGGCAGCAAAGAAGGCAATTGTGCCTTAATGAGCCCATGGTTCAAAGCACTGCCCTGCTGCATTGACCCTTCTATAGATCAGAAAGTCTCCTTGATTTAATTACCTCACAGAACCCCAGACTAGACAGCTCCAAACCTCATTTATGCCCTGATCTTGCTATTTTTTTTTATTTTGGTGCACTCTATAGTGATTTACAATTCAGCCAAGGGACTCTTCAGGCGGCCGAGGAGAATTGTTTAGAGGGGTTTGTGTGCAATTACATTTTTCTGAAGGAAATAAAAAGGAAAAAAAAAGCACATTTTGAGACTCAAACGTCTTGTCTCCTTTCCCAAGCACAAATAATAAGCATTTCTGCCTTTTTAAGTGTAAAAGACTAGAAGCTTCAAGGGTAGAATTAAGGGAATTTAAATCAGGGGCCAGACACTGCACACACTGGAAATGTTCCCATTTGGAAGTTCCCAATCCAGTGGTGCACGCAGCTTTCAGCAGATATTACAGGATTGTTCCACCAGGATTATCTCAGCTACCAGGGTATTTATTTTCCCCTTCCAATCTGTGGCACAGAGCAGTGGAAATAATCCAATGTTCCCTTGCACTCACCAACACCTCGCCCCTCCTGTCTCAGGATGAGCCTCTCATTAGAGGAGCCTCAAAACATCCTCAAAAATTAATCCAGAATTAATCAAATGACCAAGATTGCATCTTAATTTCTACAGGAGCAAGGCTGAACTGCAACTAAAGGTGCAGCAAACAGCCCTGGCTGTTCTCTGCTGCTTCCCTGGCACACGGGATTCCATCTCCCACTGCAGGGAGGGATGGGAGATAAAATCACAGATGGAAACCATAGAATCGTGGAGCAGTTTGGGTTGGAAAGGACTTTAACGCCCATCCAGTCCCACCCTTGGGACACCTTCCACAATCTCAGGATGCTCCAAACCTGGCCTTGGACATTCCAGGGATGGGGCAGGCACATCTTCTCTGGAAGTTCTGCTGCAGAGAGCACCAGTGCTGGTCATGGATGTTGCTGAGGGCTGATTTAGGTCCAAAAAGGGACCAGGGCTGGCTCTGCCAGGCTGGAGGTTGAGTTGGGACCTTGCATCCACCTGCCCCAGGACAGAGCAGCTCTGGCACCTCCAATGCTGGCATTATATCTGATATTTAGTGGTTGTGTTTCACTCTTCACATTCTTGTTTTGTGACACAATTGGATCACTAAAACTGCCACATTATCCCCTTTCTTCCCCTCCCTCCCTCCTTGATTAGTAGAGACACTTATTACAGCTTTAATAGGGAGAAACAAGTTCCCTCTGTCCTTTCCCAGTCCTAAAAATACAAGAGTGTTTTTTCCAGAGGAGCTGATGATTGAGGTTTAAACGTTCAACCAGAATACATTAAAATGCTCTAAACATCAAGGAGAAAAAGGGAGCCCTGATACCCAGAAGGAAAGTGGGGTGCTTGAGCTGACTTACAGCACTGTAATTATTGGTGCTGTCAGAGGTTCAAATCTACATTATTTTTAGGCCCCCGTCCAATCCACAAAAAGATCTCTAAAATAATTGCAAAAAGACCTCACTTGAAGACTGTTTGTTTTGGAAAAATAGAAATCTTTGCTCCATTTCAGCATATTTCATCTTGGAGAGCAGTAATATTTTATTTGTGTTGAAAGAAGGCAGGGGCTTATTCAATATTAATAAATGCTTTACAGCACGGGTTAAAGTTCTTTTCTTATTCGGCCCTGCAGCCCTGCCCAGGCTCCACTCCTGGGGGAGAAGATGTTTCTACTGAAGGGACTTGAAATTAAAAAGAAATAGTATTCACAGGGTACAAATCTGCCCAAATCGAGAAGTTTTCTGCTCAATATTCTGCTACGTTTTGCACATTGGTGCTAATTAGTGGTGTCAGCTAATTAAGAGCAGAATGTTAACAGGACACCTGGCAGGGCAGTGTGCTCCTGGCCAGGACAAAGGGACCTGACCCATTCCTGGTCCAGGCTCTTGGTTTGGAACCCTCTGAGCCCCAGACAGAGCCTGGGAGCTGTGCCAAAGTCACTCCGTGACATTAAAGACTCAAGGTGCAACTGTCTGTGGTCAGAGACAAGAAAGGGATGGAAAAGAGGTACCAGGAGAAAAGGAAAAGGGAAATAAACCAGACCCTAAATCAGGGGATGAACTTTAATGAATGAACTTTAAGGTCCCTTCCAGTTTTAAGGTCCTTTCCCTTTTCCAAAGGGAAAACCAGATTCTAAATCAGGGGATGCACTTGAATGGATGAGCTTTAAGGTCCCTTGCACCCCAAGGGAAAAAACCCAGATCCTAAATCAGGGGATGCACTTGAATGGATGAGCTTTAAGGTCCCTGCCACCCCAAACCATTCCATGGTTCTGTGCGTTTCCCTGGGGAGGTTTGCAGCCTGCAGGTGACAGAAGGGATTGAATTTTGGCTACTCCTGAGGACACCCAGAGCCCAAATAAAGCATTTTCTGCCTTCTTGATGTTTTTCTTCGCTTTGTTTAGTGGAAGAAAGGGGAGAAGGGAAAATGTTTGAAGTCCTGGTGGCAGTGGCTGTGGCTGAGCTCTGGCACAACCTTCAGGCTGGTCTTGCCCTTCTAGCTCCCTGACTTTGTGCAGAGCTGTCCCAGCAGTCCTGAGCCACTTCCAGGCCAGCCCTGTGGCCCTGGGAGCTGCTCAGTCCTGCCAGGTGCTCCCCCAAACCCCAGGGCTGCACTGGAGCTGGGTCCCACAGCACAGGTGGGATCTGCTGGAACCACCAGCGGTTTAGGAACCAAAACCCTGCAGGGCACAGAGCTCAGCTCAGACCTTCACAGACCCCCTGGCCTCCAGGATGCTGCTAATTGTGGCCACCAAAGGCTCTGCATCCTTCCAGGGTGGCATTCAAAGGGGTGGCAATCATTCAGAGACCCAGCTGAGGGACTGGCACCTGGAGAACCATCAGCAACACAACCCCCAGGGACAAAACCCCAAAGGAAAACGGCTCTGTGGGAAGACAAAAATGACCCCAATAATGACAGCAGGGAGCTGAAATGGCTGCAGGCAAGTCCTGGGCATGACCTGCCCAGCTGTGATGGGAATTATGGCTGTGGGGGCCTCGAGGGGACAGGAGAGGGGCACAGGTGTCAGGAATTCCCTGTCCCTCTGCAGTGGCTTTTGCACCTCTCCTGCCTGGGCACTGCCCTGGCACCTCTCCCACCCGTGCTGAGCTCGGGTGCCACTGGAGTGACTCTAAAACCCAACCAAAATCTGCTTTTTTGTACCACAAACGGGACAGAAGGAGCAAACCCGGTGATGGACACCACTGACCACGTGCCTGGGTTTTTGATGATCTACAAAGCATCAGGAGCCAGCAGAGTTTCAGAAAGCCAGATCAGCTTTGGTGTTGTTGCTTTAAACATTACCCAGGCCCTGCTGCAGAACCCAGAGATGCTGAGGGCAGAAATCTCCTTCCCCTCGATCTTTTACCTCAATTTTTTTTTTTTTAAGTGCTGCTTTCAGGGCTCCCAAGTGCTGGGGACTCCTCTGCAGGCAGCAGCTGAACGGGGCTGTTTATTTATAAGAGTCAAGCAGAGCCACACAAAAGGTTATGGCCACGGGCCAAATGTCTTTGACATCATAGCCTGTCATTAATGGCATAAATCCTCCGTGATTTCATTTCCCACTGAGCCAACCAGCATCTCTCCCAGATTATTTCAAAGGGAAAAAAAGTCTAAACATTTACCTTCAAACCCCAAACAGATCGTATCGTTCCATTCTGCTTGCCTGATATTAAATATATTCTCTTGCACATGGCGTTTTTATGGCAGGTTGTGACCACTCCTGGAGCTCGTTTCAGAAGGAGATAGGCTCAGAAAGAGAAATTTTCTCATTGTTCCCTAAGGGCAAAAACAAAAAAAAAATGATATTTCATTCACCAAAACCTTTTCTAACCGCTGCACTTTGCTATTTTATTGTATTTTTGTCCCCCAGTTCTCTGTCTGAAGGAGAGAAATATTTAAAAGCTTGTTCTCTGTGCCACAGCCTCTTCAGTGTGAGAATATTTAACGTGGAGAGGCTGAAAAAGTTTTCCTTCACACAATTTTTGTCCCCTTTTTTCCATCATATCCATAATATGCACATGGTCATGTGAAAAATTTTAGGAAATCACTCTGAGCATGAAAGGTCTGAATATACCTATAATACCTGAATATTTTAATTTAAATCCTTTGGGATTTTAAGTCTTCCTGACCTGTTGATGAGCTGCTTGATAAAAAGCCGGGTGGAAAATATTTTATAATAATATCAGATAATTTTTGACCAGTCATTGCTTGTTACTGAACTGGGCCTAAAATGCCCAGGGAAAGTTTTCCAAACCAGGGCTGCCACTAAACCTGCTGGGATAAACCAGTCATTCTACACTTATATGCAAAAGCAGACAGTCAGAGTGTTGGGTTTGCCCTCACTTTTGGAATATTTGCTGAAATGGCTCCAGATTGGCCCCTTTGAGATGAAAAGCACCTGACAGCACTCCTGGCCCCAGGGGCAAATGTCCATAAAGTCAGGGAAGCTGCCACTTATCAGCTGCCCTGCAAGGAGAAGTTAATGATCTGCAGTTACAGACCCAAGTGAGCTCAAAGAAAGCTAATTTAGGCTCAGCCCAAGCCCAGGTCGGGTCTGGGCACACGGGGCACCATTAGAGGCGATTTGGTGCAAATCTGGAGCTGCCTTTGCTCAGCCCCTGGAGGGCTCTGAGTCCCGGGGAAAGGAATCCCATGGAGCATCCCCAGTGCCAAGGAGGATCCCCAGGCTGAAAGGACGAATGTGAATTTTCCCAGGGCAGGAAAGAGCCCTCAGAGACGAGAGAGAGAGAAGCAAAGTCCCCCCAGCCTCTGCTCAGAGGAGAAAGGACCGAACAGGGGCTGGACACGACAGCGCAAAGCTCCCCTTGAGCCACCACTCCTGCCTCCATCCCACCTCCAGCCCACAGCCCACAGCCCTCACCACCACCAAAGAACAGCAGAAGGACCTCCAGCATACCTGAGGAAATAAAAATTGGCCGTTTTCCCCTTTTTTTGGAGCGGGCTGGGATCTCGGGAGGCGTCAGCGAGCGCACGCTCCCCGGCCGTGCCGACAGCAGGGCTGTGTCAGAGCTCTCCTGCCAGAGCCAGAGTGAAAATATTCCTGCAAAGCACCAGTAGCTTCATTCTTATGACTAACACATCCCAAAGGTGCCATAACATGCAGGGAGGCAGGGAATTCTGGGGTGCTGGAA